GGAGCCCAAGTTCCCGATATATAGAGAGAGGCATGAGATTTATTTTGGCCCCAAGGTCAAGCATCCCCGAAGCATCGTCCCACTCCCAAAAGCTAAATTGATCACAAAGCTACCGGGGTCTCTTTTTTTCTTCGGTAATTCGTGCTGAAAGACACTCGCTGCCTCGCATGCCACCACCTAATCGACACTCTCCAATCGCTTCTTACTCTTTGCCAGTTCTTTGAAATGTCTCGCGTAAGCCGGTATCATTTTGAGCACATCGGAAGGTGGAAGATTGCCATATACCTTTTTAAAAAACTTGTAAAGGTCCCGCATCAGCTGATTGTCCTTCTCTTCCAAGAGTCGGCCTGGGAAAAGAAGCCTTGGCCTGTATGGGTTTGGAGACTTATGAAAAATTGGCTCGGTAAGCAGTGTCGCTGGGGCCTTTTATGTTTGCTTTGTCTTCCTCGGATCTTCTTCTACTTCTTGTTCCCCCTCGTCTACTATCTTCTCCTCCAAGTCAGGCATAATAACAGTCACCGAATTCACATGCTCCGGTTGGCTAAGCAACTTCCCTTGTTCATTTCAGTCTCGATGACTCCGACCCGTGTGGCCAGTTGGCCCAACTGTGTCTCAATACGCTTGATGGTGGCCTCTTGATTGACACTTCACTGCTCACTGTTGGCCATAAATTGGAGGATTTTGGCAATGTCGTCCTGTAGGGTTGAACTCGGCCCTGCTCCTGGTGCTTGCATCCCAGCTTCCAGTCCTCTCTGCTGCTGTTGTGGCTGGTAGTTCGGACGGGGCACAAAGTTTGGTCGAGGTTGCTGCTGCATGAAGTTCGGACGGGGTGGCTAAAGGGTGTTCGAGTTGTTCGACCATGAGAAAGCGGGGTGATTCCGCTATCCTAGATTGTACGTGTTTGAATATGGGTCATTGCCTGGCCGGTTCTGGTATCCCTGTAAGGCACTGGCATCCGCATACTGCTCTCCAGAATCCTGCTCGAATGATGAGGGGCATACTTTGGACCTATGCTCTGGGACTCCACATGCCCCACATGTGTCAACGACAAAAGTATTAACCGGCTGAGGTCCTCGTGCATTGAGCAACCTCATCTGCTCAGTAAGCTCAGCTAACTGTTGGGCCATCAAGTCATTGCTCATTCCGACCTCGTTCATTGTCGCTCTCCTCCCTCGGCTGCTCTTCTGTGACGAGTTCGTGCTCATCGTCTCGAAGATTGCAAGCATCTCCTCGGTCGTCTTTGCTCCAATATCCCCTCTTGTCGTATTGTCCACCATATACTGCATGTTCTGGTGGAGGGAGTTGTAGAAAGAATTCATTAGTAGCCCCAGAGAGAGGTTGTGATGAGGGAACTGTCGTTGGAGATCCTTGAACCGCTCCCAAGCCTCGTGAAGAGGCGCACTCGGTAACTGAGCAAATGAGACAATATGAGACCGAAGCTCCTGAGTCTTCTGATGGGAGTAGTACTTCCCAATGAACTTCAAGCACACCTTAGTCCAGGTAGTGAGAGATCTAGGTGCAAGCGTCATGAACCAGACCTTGGCAAGATCTTTCAGTGTCTCAAGAAAGCACCTCATCGTCAGCTGCTTGTCATTAAGCCCACTGAGAGGGAAAGTGTTGTGGACATTGTAAAATTCCCGGATAAAGTTGAGTGGGTCCTCGCTTGGAAGCCCGTGGAATGCCGGCAGTTGGTTGTAGTGAATCATTTTGAGTTCATAGTTCCGTGCAACATCCGGCAAGCGAATGCATGAAGTGACTGTCCTGTTAACCGGTTGGGCTAAGTTTCGGAGGGTGTTACGAGGAGCTTGTTGTTGTTGTTCACCCATGTCGAAGTTGCTGCCTTCAGATGATTTTGAAGAATGCTCGTCTTTTTCGTGTGATTCGAAAGTAAGCTCTTCTAGTAGCTCTCTCAGACTCTCGTTGAACGGTTTGTCGATAGGAGATAGTACACGTCAACTCCTGGTATGCATACACAAAGACAAAGAAACCGTCACGAGCACCAGATAAACAAAGAAGAAAAACTAAAGAAAAACAAAGAACCAAAAATCAATAACTAATAAACTACGCAAAATAAAACGAAGAGAAAAACTAAAAAAGAAAAAACGAATAGACGCACAATTAAAGTCCTAAACCTTCCCCGGCAACGACGCCAAAATTGTTGTCAGTACTTTTACCGGAGTAGAATCGAAAGATTCGTTCCCCGGGTCGTATCCCAAGGAAGGTTAGTCGGATTCAATTGTACGATTATTCGATCACGAAAAGAGAAAATCCTAAACACTCTATTCAAAGATTTGGGTTTCAATTATCAACTAAGAATTTAAAGTTAATGAAAAGCAATTTAAGTAGAAGGATAAATTTACTCAGTGATTAAAGAGATAGAAAATCAGGGATAATTGCTTTCGGTTCTAACACAACTACCGACAATCAATTGCTCGATTAAAGGACTTGAATCTTTTCTCGTCCAGAGGCTCACTCTCAATAACTCTTCGTAACAATAGAGTGAACGTACACGATCAACTATCAATTCCAACAACAGCACATAGACAATACGTCTCCGAACAAGTCTATCCTAAACGAGCCTAAATCGACAAACATCTCCCCTCTTGGTTCTCCACGTTTTTTGATTAGGTTAGAAAGGTGACCAGTCTACTAACCCTAGAATAAGCACAACTCAAATAGATATGAACAATAAAGAACAAGCAATCATTATCGAACCTAATCAATCATCCCCTATCCCTAGCGTATGGATTTAGCTACTCATGGAGAATTCAATATCACAATTCATATTAACCCAAGCCATCATCATCAACATACAATTGAGAAAAGAGGAACTTACGATTAATGTAAAATAGTTCAATGTTGAATCCCAAAAGCATCCAAATCCAAAATGAGAAAAAGGAGTTTTTCAATCTCCAAAATCAATCCAAAGAGCAAAAGTACTGAACGAAATGAGTTTCTAGAGAGAAAATACGTAAAAACAAAGTCTGGAAGTGAATCTTGAATCCTAGGCCCTAATTCTGATGTAAAAACCTGCGCCTCAAAATTCGCGCCGGCCATCTTGCGAGTCGCGACATAAGTCACGAGTTGCGACATAAGTCGCGAGTCGCGACTTCATGTTTCTCCAGGTCACGATTCGCGACATCTCGCGAGTCGCGCGTCGTAAAAAATATTTAACATTTGGGGAAAATTGCGACCTTAATCGCGAGTCGCGACTCCATCTCGCGAGTCGCGACTCGTATCGCGAGTGCTACTTTTTGTCTCTGTTGATCTCGCGAGTCGCGATCATCTCGTGGGTCGCGACTATCTCGCGAGTCGCGAGAAACTATGGGCAGTCTTCAGTTCATTTTTTTCCGGTCCTTCCTTCAACTTTCTGAGCTCCACAACGGGTGTTCTCGACATCACAGTCTCGGCTCAAGTAGTCCAATCATCAACCGGTACAACTTACCTCCTGGAAACACAAACACGGAGAAAAACACGAAGCAAAACACGACAAATAGACACATAAATAGAAACTGAGGGGAAAAACACAAAACGAACGAAATGGTTCCAAATAAACTACGAAAAACCTACGAATGAGGGAAAACAAAAAGAAAATAAACATGAAATAATGACACAAAAATGGACAAACATGGCACTATCTAGTAGGGGTGTTCACGGTCCGGATTGGTTCGATTTTAGCCCAAACCATGACCAAACCGGACCTAACGGTTAATTTTTTTTTCTTGTCCATAACGGACCAATTTTATTTTTTAACCGGCCAAAATCCGGACCGCATTGGACGGTCCAGTTTGGCGGTTAACCGGTTAAATCTAAAATCCTTGTTTTGGGCCTTCAGTTTTTATTTTTTTTTTTTTCATTTTGAGCTTAATTTTTATTATGCAATTTTGGGTCAAAAAGAAATTATTTGAGCCTAAAAATTAAGAAAAACAATAATAATGAAATAAAAAATACACAAATTTTCCCATAAAAATAAAAATACACATTTCGTCCCATAAACATAAAAATACATAAATGATGAACATAAAAATACCAAAAGGTTAAAATGACTGTATTGTATTTGTCGGTCAGAGTGAATGACTGAATGTATATATATATTTGTTATAGTTTTTTAATATTTACCGGTCCGGTTAAACCGGCAGTTTATCGCAGGTAATCCGTTAACCGGACCGGTTATTCCGGATTTTTAAAAAAAATTGACCATCGAATTTTTTACGGCTTTTTTAACCGACCATTTAACCGATCCGCGGTCCGGATAGACAGTTTTTTCGGTTAAAATCGGACCGTGAACACCCCAACTATCTAGAGTCACGAATCAGAAGGGTACAAAGATAATGATTTGTGGGGATAAAGATTGGGATGATAGAAAAATCAGGAACGTTGTATATAAAGAAGTGTTTACTAATATTTAGATTAAATAGTTTGTTGCGTAAAATTTTTTTCAATGATTATGTTATGACTTCTACAATGTTTTTTTTTTTTTCTTCTGTCATATGATTTTCCGTGCAAATGCAATGATTTATGTACTAATACAAGTGCAAATGCAATGATCAAGTAGTAATAAAGGGCAGTGAATATTGATTAATATTTGTTGTTTATATATTTATTTATTTATTTTTTTGGCCGGTTCTCCATCTCACCGTCCAGATTGACGCTAAAAATTGAGTGTACAGCAGTAACCGCCAATGTGTCCATCTATAATGTCCGTCGCTGCCTTGGCTGGTAACTCTATTAAACCTCCTCGCCGTCCCTCCTCACAACTCACCACCTGCTCGCTCTCTTTCTCTCTCCTCTCTCCTCAGATAAAGGAGCAGACAGCAGAGCATAGCGAGGGACCAAATCTCAACAAGAAAATCAGCCTAATAATCTCCGCTCGCCTAATTATAGCTACCCAAACCTGCATTCTCCATTCAAACACACATACATATCCACACACGCATACGCACTATAAAATCCGCAGCTTCTCTTTTGATCTGTAATAATTTCTCCATTATTGGGACGCAATGAAGCTCAAGCACCCTTCTAATTCGGCATCGCAAACCCTGACTTCATCGGACACGCGCCTCCTCGTGCGCGAGTCCCTTCGCATCAGCGCCGACCTAGCATCGGCGGCTCCGCCATCATCCGCCGCTGCTTCTGGGGCGGCTCAAGAGCGGCCGTTGGTTCCTGATTCCAGCTTTGCTGGGCTCGTCAAGGATCAATTCCTCGATTCGAGCCTGAGGTTGATCTGCTGCGAGGAGGTTGATGGCAGGCGGTGGCAATACCTCGCCGAAAATAGCTACAACGATGGCATCAAAAGTAGTGGCGCCAAGCAATCGAAGAAGAATTCCATTCGTGCTGTTAGTTTGCAGACTCCCCAGGCTCCCATTGAGGTCAATTCTCTCTCTCTCTCTCTCTCTCTCTCTCATTTCAAGTTATGTACTTTCTCCAAGTTCTTACTGGCCAAACTGGTTCATTTTTTGTGTCCATGCGTTGCAATTAAGACGGTCTATCATTCCACCCTTACGAACTTGTTGATTTTGTTTCGTCCTATTTTGGTTTTCCTATTTTCTCTTGAGGAGATGAATGACAACCTTGATTTTTCGTGATAAAAAAGTTGGAAAACCTCTTGATTTCTTCTTTGCTCTGAAGGGACTCAATATATGTTGTGATAATTGTTCTGTGTGCCAAATGCAAATTATTAGATATTAACAGGTGGTGATGGCGTTATAGATGCTGTTGCGTGATAAATGTTGACATATTTAAAATACTTGCAATCATAACGAGCTACTTGACCAATGGCATCATTGATTAGACGGAGAATTAATAGAGAGAATCAAAGAAGGGATACTAACATCTCTTGGTATGTATGCATGAGGGCATGTGCAACTCCTCTCTATGTAAAATGTTTTAATGATAGAAGTAATAAGAAATATGAAGAAAAAAAAGTGGAGAAGCAAAGAGCATCAGTTAAGATGCAAATTTCTGTCATGGATTATTTTCTCTCTTTAACTTAAGTTTATGGCCTCTAGGAGCTGATGACATTTATAAGGTCCTATGTCGTCCCGGAAGGTTTTCCTGACAGTGTGACACCTTCTTATGTGCCATACATGACATGGAGAGCTTTGAAGGTACTCTTTCAATATCTTAATGGTATCAAGAAAGCAATTATTCTTTCATCATTCAATAAACTTGTTGTAATAAGCTGCTCCAGTATGACATTGTTATTTGTCTTGGTTGTAGCACTTCTTTGGTGGAGCTATGGGTGTTTTTACTACGCAAACACTCCTTAGCTCACTTGGGGTATCTAGAAATACTTCATCAGGCGCTGTAGCTATCAATTGGATCCTCAAGGTATATAATAGGGCTAACATCAGCTACTTTCTTGTAATAAGAAATTAATTCTGTGAAACGTCAAAATCGTACAACTTTTTCAGGGTTATTAATAAGATAACTAGTATGTGCTCTTTCGTGGTCACATACGTATGAAGCTTCTAGATCTAGGGCACTTTTCTAAGTTGCATAAATATTACTTATACGGAAACTCTGACCAGATCAAGGTCTTGCAGCTTCCAGCAGTTTTGATTGGATACGTATCATGTTAAATTAAGCTAATATGGGATGTTTCTTTCAGCATGCCACTTCCTAATTGATAAGACATTAAATGCGGTTGATCTAACCGTTGAATCTTCAATGTGGCTAATTGTAGGATGGTGCTGGACGGGTTGGAAAGATGCTTTTTGCCCGCCAAGGAAAGAAATTTGATTACGATCTAAAGCAGGTATAAAGTTGTTTGTTTGGTGGTGAAAGAGGATGTTTATTGTTTTTCCAATACCATTCTCTACATTCTCATATTTCAAACTCCATTCAGCTTAGATTTGCTGGTGATCTCCTAATGGAGTTAGGAGCTGGAGTAGAGTTGGCAACAGCAGCTGTTCCCCATCTATTTCTTCCATTGGCATGTGCAGCTAATGTTGCTAAGGTCTATACCTATGGCTTGTTTGCTTGTCAGTTTCTACCAATGCCTGAAAATTAATTTAAAACCTGTTTTTATTTGTCAATAGAATGTTTCTGCTGTGACTTCAACTTCAACTCGAACTCCAATTTACAAAGCCTTTGCTAAGGGAGAAAATATTGGAGATGTGACTGCCAAGGGAGAATGTGTTGGAAATATTGCTGATCTGGTAGGCTTGTTCACTTAATAAACATCATATATGGTCTGTATTGCTGTCAAATTAAATATCACGTTATGAAGAAACTTTCCTCATGGAAATACTGAATTAACACGGTGTTGTAATTCTGCAGTTTCTCAAAGAGGCGTCATAATGATCTCTTGCTTATGATAAAGCACACTGTTCACGGATTTGTTTAATGCTACTTTAGATATACATATACATATACATACACACACACACACACACACACACACACATATCTATATATATATATATATATATTTGCGTTTGTCCATTTATAATTCATTTCGTTCTTGTTTTCTCTGCATTCCTTCTGATTTTATAGTTGGCAATTTCAAGTTATTTTATTTTAGAGATTTACCATATTGGAATCTGATTAATTATTTTGCACAATCAATGCTTTCATAAAAAACAGTTTCTTGTTGTTTGAGATTTTGTGTTCCGAATAAAAATGGACTTTGGGTAGTGGGGCGTAGATGCAATCTAGGACTATTTAGTGCCTAAATTGGCACCTGGAAGAGCCAAACTTGCATTAAAATGACCCCTCTATCCCATCATCTTCAGATTTATGGCTAACAAATAATGTTTGCGACTTTAAAGGATTTTACAGGTTTAAAGTTTGTCTCAGATTTTAATTTCTCGATTGCACTCTATCATATTCACGCTTCACTTGTGTTTGGTTAAAGACTTCATTTTGTATTGAAACTACTTAAGTATATCCTTCCTTGTGAAGCTTGGAACTGGACTCAGCATAATGATTTCTAAAAGGAACCCATCCTTGTTCACTACATTTGCTCTGCTCTCTTGTGGATATCTGATGAGCTCGTATAAAGAGGTTGAATGATGAGCATCACGCCCACTCCATTTTCCTTCATAATTATGCTCTTTTAATGTTTTAAACAGTTGTTTGCCAAATATCTTTCAGGTCAGATCAGTTGTTTTGCACACACTTAATCGTGCACGATTCACCGTGGCTGTGGAATCCTTCCTGAGTACAGGTGTGATGGGTGATCTCTATGGTTCCTGTTTATCTCATTTTTCGTGGTTACATGGCTGTGTTATAAATGTTTCTGTCATTGGTATATGGGAAAGAAAGATCAAAGTGTAGATAAAAAGAAGGTAGGAAAAAGTTGTTGAGCAAAGAGTAACATTGGTGTCAAAGACACATGTCAATTGGAAGTGAATATATTTAGTGAATTGGAGTGAACAAAATTCTGAAATCACACATGGACCAGAAAGACACTGAAGGTGCTGTGTAAGAGGCCACTGACAAAATAATATTTGTAGGTTTTAAACTGGGAACCAAAAATTGAAAATGTATTAAGAGTCAAGTGCCTTAGTGATCAGAGTTTGAAAGGCTAGTAAAGGTGGGTGAAATCGAGGTATATAATCACACACTTAAGAAAACTTTAAACGAATGAGTATTACGATTCAGACAAATGAAGCTATTTGCTTAAGTTATTTAAAGCATTTATAGAAGGGTAACTAACAAAGATGTTAGTGTATTTATTTAGGAATTGCATCTGATTTAAACCAAAGGTGGAGATGCACACTGTGATTTCTAGACCAAGTTGATATGATCGTGTGGTATGCGGAGCTTTCAAATAAAATATTGATAAAAACTTGAGCTTATTGATTCCTCAAACACACTATTTCTATGCACGTATATTGGCTGAAAGAGCTTTTTCTTCTTTGTTAGAAATCGTTACGAATGATGGAAAGAGGAACAAAAGATCTTTTTTGTTACTGTTTATCCACAGAAGTCTTCCATAGTTCTATCGTCAATACTTGTTGAGTTTATGAAGATGGGTTGTTTGCTTAAGTTTCTCTAGGATAATGGTATGGTAGGTGATTTATTTTAAGCTACTTGGGTTTTGTGAAGGACAGCTATTAATATCTTGTTGACAAAAGAGTTCATGCTAAGATTGAGGGTTCCTGACTTTGCATAGAAGTAGCAATATTCTATTGGTTTTGGATATTCATTTTTTGAGAAAATAATAATTTCACTAATTGGGATAGTCAAAAGCAGATTGGCAAGGTGGATTTGCTATTAAATGATAAAGATTGGATAAGATTGCCTATCATCCAGGATCGGTTCAGTTAACCATAAGGGTGGACAAGGAACATGGCACAGGAGTTGTTTGGACACTTGATGCACCTAATGTGTAGTGAAACCTAGTGTGGAAGTAACAAAAGATGTGTATAAATGTGGGTACACCTGGAGAATTGGGAGCTGTTTGAGTAAATTGGCAACTATGAGATGGTTTGTGATCGATATAATTTATTCATACTTATGCTACACCTACTGATCGGAAAGATGGGGCTTGTTCACATAAAGTTGGAGATGTAGTAAAAAATGTACTCATATGTTTCATTGAAAACAACAATTTTTGATCCGTGACTTTCTTCCTCTCTTCCTCTCTCAGGGCAAGTTCCCAGTTTGGAAGAGGGAAATTTAAAAGAAAATATTTTCAGTCCTCCATGGAAAAACCACAGACCTATTGTTCTTGGTACATCTCTCTCTCTCTCTCTCTCTCTCTCTCTCTCTCACACACACACACACACACACACACACACACACACACATATACACACGCACACTCACAGACACACACACACACACTCACACTAACACTCACTTACACAGATTCTTTACATGATGCAGAGTCACACGGGCTTTTCTTTCACTGCAGAGTTGAGTTAATAATGAATAAATTTTGATCTACAGGACCACGTTTTAAAGATGCCTTCCAAGATCCCAATTCATATCTCATGTTGGAACCAATTTTTGAGGTATGTTACTTGTCGCTTGTTGCTTGAAGTTGATACTCGCGAGTCAGCCTAACCATCCCGCACTTCTTCATGTGCTTTATAAAAGACTTGCGTGTACATGCCCTGTAATTGTACATACTCTTGATTGCCCATAGACTTGAGCTGTGACTTATAAGTTCGACTTAAATCTTCTTGATGACAGAAAGAACGATACATTGTGACCTGTAATCCTTCTAAAGGAAAAATCTATGCTTTGTTCAAGGATCAAGCAAAGTCTGATGATATACTGAAAGCAGCTTTTCATGTAAGATTGTAGAGCTGTTGATTTTATATTCACAACCATATGTAGTGCTTCTTGCTAATTTCCACATGGTGGTACAGGCTCATGTGCTCCTTCACATCATCTGTTCCTCCAATCAGAACTCACCGACCTCTAGAACACGAGAACATGATCTTTCAGTTGTATCCCCTACGTTGGGTGATCTTCAGTCTCATATTGCGGACTCATACAAGATGGTTTCAGCTTTATATGAGCCTTTTAAAAACAAAACTAAAGAACAGGTAACCTGAAATTGGCCATTTAGGTTCATTTCATGAGTTGTTTTTATTTACAGAAAATGTCAATCAAGTGGCTGGACAGCTAATTCATGGTGGCTCGACTTAGCGACTATAGGGCTAGTTAGTAACGGCATAAGCTAAGTTTACAGGATTTGGATGTGTACACAACTAAATTGAAGATATAAAACTAAAATTCTTCACTTATGTTTCATGTTGCTGTCTATTTTAATTGAAGATGTGGATGCATTTTATGTTGCTCCTTTTGGTCTTAGAAATTGCTGTTGCATTTGGAACTATATTTCTGTGCTAGGTTGCAGCGTGACCATATACCTTTGGATTTTCACATCAATGTCAGAGAGTAAATAACAAAACCAATATCCCACAACCAGGGGCCACACACACACACACACACACACACATCGTTATTAAATGAAATAGTTATGCATGGTCTGTGCTTTAAGTACGAGGTCCTGGTGGATCATTACTATCACAATCTTGTTTATAATAGCTGAAAGTGTTGTTTTTCCTTGCAGGGATGGGTTATGTCAGAATCTCTACTTAACCCTGGCAGAGCTCGCTTATGTGAGTTGGTGAGATGAGATGGATGCAGGTCACTAAATTCTTGTAAAACTTGTCGAGCCATTCCGAAGTGCACCAGGCACTTGTGTTTGAATTGACTCTGAGTATCGTGGGACCTCTGATTTGTGGCAGAATGAGGAGAATATGTTTCCCGTACCTTTATTACAAACCACTTTCTGCATCAAACACTGACGAGAATTATATTGATGAGTTAAAAAGTGGTGCATATGGATTCGTAAGAAACATGGAGACACCAGTGGTAAAGGCGGAGTTGTGTGAATCTTGTATAATGTAGGTGCCCTTTTTTATTTATCTAGTATCGCTGTCGTTTTTGCACGACTTGGACCCTGGGGGCCTTATAGTAGTCTTTTTAAGTTTCTATGATTTTCTGGTTTTGGTCACATGGATTTGCTTTGTCACCTGTGACTCTGAGTGTGATGTAATGATATTCTCAGTCCTGTTACTGCCAGTGTGGCATGCTTTTAGTTTGTTTTAGTTAGTTTGTTTTCTTGACTAGTGCAATTGTGTGTGTCTGTGTGTGTGTGTGTGTGTGTGTGTGTGTTT